GGTGGATATTTTTTTATTTTCTGAAGGAAAAAAAAGGTTTTGCGTGTGCAAACCCTGCAGTCACATTTAAGACCATTTAGACACAATATTGCTAGTTAAGGCTCATTCACACCAAGAAGGATAACTGTAAAGATAACTATAACAATAACTATAATATCAGTGTCCACACCAAATTAGTGACCATGTAAAGTGGCTGATGACAAAATTGGAGAATGAGATTATAATAAAGAGAATATTATCATCCGTTGGTGTGGATGCTATGGTTATCGTTGTTGGTTTGAACGGGCCTTAAATGTCCGAACTCTTGGTCAGGTGGATTCTGTGTAGCTTTTAATGTTTTTTTATCAGCTGAAAAAAAAGCTGTTCTAAAAATTATTCCAACAATATTGTTTATTGATTATTAAAATTTATTACGATTATTAAAACTTTATACTTGTCTATTTTGCTTCACACACACACACACACACACACAAACACCAAAGCTGAATCAACTGTTGTGCCTGAATGAATCATTGTGTTGAAATGATTCAGTTGAGTGAATGATGATTCAATAACTCATTCATCAGTTGTTGTTTAGCTATTGAATCAGTGTTTTTGAAACAATGAAAGATTCATCGACTCACTCATAAAAACAGTTGTTCCCTTTCGAACATTCACTTCACGTTGTGTATGGGGAAAACTCCTGTTTTACTCTGTACTGAAGCCTGATTTGTTCACGTTTGTGTAGCTGCACAAACCAATGGTGCTTTAACTCGCCAGAAGGGGCGGAGCTGACATGTATATAAGTCGGCTTGCAGCGCAATTTCATCAGATCATTCTCCTTCAGCGATGAGGATCATCTCTTCCCTTCAGCGACGAGGATCATCTCTTCGCTGACTCTATCAAGAAGCCGAAGGAGGAAGAAGCTCAGCCTTCAGCTCGCAGCTAAAGCACCGTTGGTTTGTGCAGCGGCACTTAAAAGAGCAAATTTCTGAGCAAAATTCCTAGCGACGTTGTTTCAAATGTCGCGCCGAGAGTGCAGGGAATCCTGCACGATGCAGAAGGGCAGTGAGTGCGTCGCCTGTCTTGGCCGTGCCCATGTAGCAGATCTGATTCTGTACATAAGGAATTTCACTCTGGAGACAGCAGGCCAGCTTCAAAACAATTCCATTTATTGATCTGAAACACATGGGACACTTGATAAGAGAAACATCCGTTGCGCTAACTTCTTCCGTTAAACACAATTATGACTGGAAGAAGAGAAGGGAAAATGTGCGTCTTGCTTCGCCAGCGTCCATTCACGGTCTGAGGCTGACATGTTACAACAATTTATGTTTAACATTGTGTAATACATTTAAACACAAGAAATAAGGAAATTAAAATAAAATTACTGTTTATATATCGCTCTTTGTGTCAATTGTTGTCTCCATATGTATTATTAAGAATGAATGATGTATAAAATTAATATTCACATGAACCAACATACAAACATTCTCCCAAAACATCATACACATTCACAACGACTCTATAGAAATGTGAAATCAGTGCATAATCCAAATGCTAAGCAATTATATGCATTACAGCATAAAGGGGAAGAGAAAATAGTATTGATAATTAACAAAACATATATTCAGAATTAGTCCATAACATTATGAACCTAATTACACAAATTCTATAATTTTATACAATTTGAGTTAAAGAACTGAATATACCTGAAACACATGGGACACTGCGTCAGACAAAAGTCGCATAAAACTCACATAAAGTAACCAATACACAAAAATACATTTGTATACTTGACTCAGAACACATTCCGTTTTATATTTAATGAATTTTGACCAAATTAAGAACACACTACGTTTTATATTTAATGAATGTTGACCAAATTAATACTTTTAACCATACCAATAATGACTGGAAGAAGAGAAGGGAAAATGTGCGTCTTGCCTCGCCAGCATCCATTCGCGGTCTGAGGCTGCCGTAACTCACGCACTCCCCAAAAGCATTAACACTGCATGACCCATGTAGGAATTTAATATTTAGTGAAATATTTTGGGAAGTTCATCACTTATCCCATAAGTGACGAGCGACTTGAGCTGCTGACTGGTTCTTGCACAGGAATGCATTCGCCATTTTCGTGAAGTGGTCTGTTACCACTAATACATTGACACTCTTGCCAGAAGAATCTTCAGCACACCAGAAGTCTATGCACACTAATTCTAATGGGCTGGTGGTTCGAATGCTTTCTAGAGGGGCTCTTCCCTCTGGCTCAGGGGTCTTGCTGACTACACAACGTTGACAGCGTCTTACATACTCTCGGGTGTCACTCTCCAAACCAACCCATGAAAATCTCTGCCTAGCCAAAGACAACGTTCTTCCTTGGCCTTGATGGCCTGCCTCGTCGTGGATGCCGCACAGGACTACACTGACCAGCGAATCAGGGACTATGAACTGGTAACGTGTAAACCTAGTCACTGGATCCTTGCAAATGCGGTACAGTATATCATCCAACAGCTTTAGTCTGTCCCATTGCTTCAGCAGTTTCAGAGCCTTGTAAGGTTCCTTAGCTCTTTCTCTCCGAGACGGTCTCTTACCTCGGCACACATAGAAGAGAACTCTTGAAAGCACGTGGTCACCTTCTTGCTTCTCTTGAAGCCCTTTCAGTGAGTAAACAGGTAAGGGGTTCTGACCAACTGGTAATCTCTGTTTGGTTTCTTGAGCAAGCCAAGAATGACCAACTTCTAAGCAGATCAGACATCTTTTCTCTGACATGCAGTGTGACCATGTGGAATGGGTTCTCTCACTGCAAACACGACATTTGGATGGACGAGACCAGGAGTGCAATTGAGGTCTATTAGGAGCAGCCTGTGTATTAGTGCGGTCGAGCACCCTCTCCAGCATGCTGAGCAGTCGCTCTAACATACCCATGTCAGTCAAGACAGTATGTGGAGGCAGTGTAGTGATCTCAGGCTTAGTGGTCTGGGTACTGGGGATGCACACTGCAGTGTTCACTGCATCGTTGACCACAGTGGTGGCCTCTGCATGGCTGACTGTGGCAGTTGCTACTTGGAACGAACGGCCAGGGAGAGAGTAAGAGTGTGGTTTCTTTATTCTCAGCTCCTTTTGATGCTCATCTATCGCTTCCTGAACCTCTGCCGATGACCACTTGGTGATAGGCTTGTACCTGAACACACTAGAAAGCTCAGCATCAGGGCAGTTTCTAATAAACATCATTGAGATTTCTTGTGAAATGTTCTTCATTCGACTACCCTGTTTCTGCAAGTGATTATCAGCGATTTCGGCCACATTATTGAGACGGACCCAATAGTCAACAGGGCTTTCTTTGTCATGTGGCAGTGTAGAGTAGAAGTCTGCAAGTGGAAGACAAGACGCTGGGCTTTCACTGAAATAACGTAAGAGCATTTTGTAAATGGCTTCAGGGGTAACAACCTTGTCAGGTGAGGAATTACTTTTACTTTCCGTACCCACTGTATATATATATATATATATATATAAAATTGGATCTCTAATTATACTTTATTATCTATTTTAATGTCTAGTTACTTTTCACCCACCCTGTAAATAACATATCTAATTATATGTAGGGTTCTTTACACATGCTTATAAGGTCCCGGGCGTACATGATAATTGCGTACGTGTGGTATAAGTTGTTCTTGAATTTTTTCGTACATTTAGAATAAATTTTAGTACGAAAGTTTTTGATGAATCATGATTTATTCGTGAAAACGTCCGTACGCACATTTCACGCAAAAATTTGTGCCTACGCATGTTTAGTGAATGAGACCCAATGTCTTAGAATGTCAGGAAAAATTGAATGTAACTGAGATGAGAGAAGTTCATTATCTGACACTGGAAGGCAGGACGCGACCCTCGGCTTGAGACCTGACAGGCGACTGCGGCCGGCTTGCAGAATCCACGGAAGTCACAGCGAAAATCCCACGTAGAAGGTCGAACCCCGGTGATCGGCGGCGGCTGATCGGTTGTATCCTAGAAGGTCACGGCACCAGTTTTATGTAGCAGATCTGATTCTGTACATAAGGAATTTCACTCTGGAGACAGCAGGCCAGCTTCAAAACAATTCCATTTATTGATCTGAAACACATGGGACACTTGATAAGAGAAACATCCGTCGCGCTAACTTCTTCCGTTAAACACAATAATGACTGGAAGAATGTCTTGCCTTGCCAGCGTCCATTCGCGGTCTGAGGCTGACATGTTACAACAATTTATATTTAACACAAAGAAACAAAGGAAATTAAAATAAAATTACTGTTTATATATCGCTCTTTGTGTAAATTGTTGTCTCCATATGTATTATTAACAATGAATGATGTATAAAATTAATGTTCACATGAACCAACATACAAATATTCGCCCAAAACATCATACACATTCACAACACTATAGAAATGTGAAATCAGTGCATAATCCAAATGCTAAGCAATTAAATGCATTACAGAATAAAGGGGAAGAGAAAATAGTATTGATAATTAACAAAAAATATATTCAAAATCAGTCCACAACATTATGAACCTAATTACACAAATTCTAAAATTTTATACAATTTGAGTTAAAGAACTGAACATACCTGAAACACATGGGACACTTGATAAGAGAAACATCCGTCGCGCTAACTTCTTCCGTTAAACACTGTGCACAAACCATGAGTTTGTTAGCTCCACGTGCGTCAGACAAAAGTCGCATAAAACTCACATAAAGTAACCAATACACAAAAA